TGTTACAAAGATATTAATGGGAATCAGTCCTGGTGAATTTGACTTATATGCGTTCCTGTTTTTACAATCAAAGCGGAATAAATCTTTATGACCCTCCACAAAACGGGCATAGAAACCATCGGACAGAGCTACAAACACATTTTCACCTGCCAAGGTGTCAAAAGATGTGTGTTGTAATTTGTTTGGCACCATTCGGAGCTTGAAGTTTCTTTTCTTAATTCACGGAAACATTTAATATTGTCACAACACATTTATACTGCTCTTTTGCCTTTAACAGTTTCGGAAATGCTGCCTTCTCGGCATAGCACAGCAGCAAGCTTTTAGTCAAAATTATGATGACCCTTGAAAATGCGCAAAAAAGAAATGAATCCCTTAGCTGCAAATAATAATTTAATTAGCACGTGGCTACCATAAGATCGGGAGCAAGCACGTTCAAATTCTTTGCCGATGACGTAATGATTCTGAATACTTATACAGTAGCAGGAGCCAGGAATTGACGTCGATCCCAACTGCTGCTATTACTGAAATTACGGCACCAAATCATTCCTCCTCAGCGAAGATATGATACACGTACGAGTATGGTACAAAAAATACTACGGTGCGCGCGTTTTTCGCATTCTTTTCGCGCTACCTGTGCCAGACCCCTGAATACCGCCAATTATAATACGACATATAAAACGAGTATGCCCTAATATTTAGCGAGGCTCCTTGGCTTCAACGCATGGTCACGACTTTTTAATTACGCTGTCAAGTTAAGTGGCGGTGGGATTGTGGGGGGCTTGTCTTTCGGCTGCCAGGATCGGAGTCAGACCTGGAGGGAGTCACAGCCAGAAGGATATGCTGACCAAGTTTCTTGTTAGAACAAGAAATGCTAATATTGTGATAATATTTATATCATTAATCATAACAAGCATCAATTTATGGCCAGTCTGTTTCTCCTCCTTGTGGAAGGAACTGTAAACATTTACACAACACTTGGACCCACTTTAGGCTTAAGTCCTCGAAACTGTGGTCTGTTCCAAGATGCGCTGGACTCTTAAAATATATTCATTTCCATTTATATTACATGTGTATGTATGTGGTTCGATGTCCGGTGCTGTCGGTTATTGGAACTGCAAGTTGGATCCGTCGGAAGGGCCAAGTGCGTTTTTTGGGCTATAAATTAAACGAATTTAAGAGGAAGCTTCCAAACACTAAATATAATATTCACAACAATGGAAATGTGCAACGAACGATAATCGATTTTTGCTTATTGCGATCCAGGTATTCCATTCCACGCTGATCCTTGGCTAAGCACGCGCTCCAATCGCCTGCAACAGACAGAGCAGTGTTACTCGCTCGCCCGCTCCGTATGCCACAAAGCCATGACGAAGCAGGCCACTGGCCTTAATGAAGTAGTAAAACTCATTCATAAATGTATTAAACCTGCTGGGTATTTGCGAAGCTTGGAGGAGCAAGCTCGAGCCCAGAACCTGCGACTGGGTCGGTGTTCTAGCGTACAAATGACGAATAGAAGAATGAGCCTCAGAATCACTACTCAGCCAGCCATCGCCATCCAGCCAGCCATCCAGCCAGCCAGCCAGCCAGCCAGCCAGCCAGCAAGCCTTACAGGTAGGCCTTAGCTCCGGCCGTTTGCAATCAGAGTCCCAAAGACCGGCTTGAACGTCAGCAGCAAGCAAGCGCAAGCAAGCCCCACCAACTGCAGTCCATTTGTTGGGTCGCCGTCCAGCCCTGGCTGGACTCTTCCTTTTACTTCATGTCGGTACCTTATACCTTATGCCGGCCAATATTGCGGAGGAACACAGCCAACCCAACCCAACGCAACGCAACGCAGCACAAAGCAACAGCAATGTTGGCTTGCTTCCTTCCTTTGCCACGAGCCTAACACACGCCGTTCAGTTCACGTTGTCGACGTTCCGACACTTGATTTCGTTGGTGGATCGTGGCCACGTTATGAACATTTACATATATCTTGCCAATCAATTTAGTTTTGTTGGACTTTTTAATTTCCTCTTTGCAAATGAAATCAATTTTGATGCGTATGAACGGAAATGTTTTAGAGTGGATTTATAAGATTCTACACATCTCCTTTATCACTGCGAAATGAAAGGAGTAAACGAATAAGCATATGTACATATATATGCATATGCATCTGTGTCTTGCACCTTCACACCAGATCAGCATAAAATGTTTTGGTTAAAACTGCTAGCACATTTCCGGTAAATGTAAGCCATTAAAAATTCGACTGCGAATAAACTAAACAATTGAGTACAGAAAAGCGACAGTGCAGTGGAATCTTCTGTACCTAGAAGACTACTAGAGCTAGTTTAGGACTATATAGAAATTGAATACTAATATGTATATAGCCTTCAACGTCAGCCTCTTCCTTATGCTTTGGCCTTGCGATAAGTAACTGAACAAACATATGCACATACATATGTAGTTAGTGTTATGATATTCAGAATATTATCAGATACATGACAAGTACTTGATAGCAAACAAGACAGTTGCCGTATAGACGGAATTCATAACTATAGAAATCTTTCTGTCAAGAGTATTACTCAAAAATTTAAGTATATTTTTGACGATCTATATAGTATTCTATAAGGCCATTGGGGCTAAGATTTATTGTTAGCGTATCAAAGTTATTAGCCGTCCATTTTACTTAAAAAAAGGATTCTCCGTTGTTTGTGTTTATTCTTTTTTTCAAACGAGTCACGCTTGAAAACGAAACCCGCACCGAGAAATGTATGAACCCGAAACGAACTAACGTCAAAATGTTTCAATCTTGGTAAAATATATTCAAGAATCGGAGTAGCGGGTGTGTGAAGCAATACTTTTTATTCATATTTGTGTGGGCTGCATACTGAAAACCTGAATAATTATTATAAATTATAAAGAAATTATTCAATAAATCAGAGCGAAGCCGATAAATCTTTTACATAAACTACAGATCAAGCGCTGTGCTGTGTATAAAAAAGCTCAAAGCCTAAATCTTTTTTATTGATATTTTAAAAACCGTGATGGGAACATTTCTGGAACGCAGATCCGAACTATATGGCATTATTTCTCAGTCGGGCACCGCACGCAAATTGACGATGTGTTGCGGTCCGATCTCATAAATTATTTTGGCAACGCATCACGCGAGTGTCCCAGTCAGATTTTACCTGATTTAGGCAGCATGCAGCATGCGGGGCTAACCAAAGCTAATGCCAACATACTCGGCATACCCATTTGAGGGCGAGCATGGTGATTTTTGTGGGCGATGACTTTTGCTCAACCTCTTTGTTGTGTTTTTGTTTTGATCTCTGGCCCTTGCCCCGCAAATTGCCCTATTTTTTATCTGGCATCAAAAAAGTTCTTGGAAGACAGATGCACCATATAATTTTGCTAATTAAATGGGGCAGCATGTACCCACGCATTTCCAGCATTTGCCAAAGAGGAGGCTGTTCTGGAGCAGTATTATTTTTTGGTTTATTTCTTAGATTTACACACTCCTTAGCCGTCGGTGTGGCATACCGGGAGCCAGCTAAGTTCGAGTGGGAAAAAGTGTTTTTATACTCGGAATACTCTGAGAGTGTAGGGGTTGGTGGCTTGTTTTTGTCCGACCGACCCCTAAAGTATACATTTAAATTCTCGCATGGCCTCAACAGTCGACCTATTTCATAGGATGTCCGTCCTTCGCTCCATATGAACGAAAGTAGTTACTGTGTAGGTACTGTGGGAACCACATTTGATTTGTGAGCAGTATCAGTTCGTGTTTACTATACATACAGTGGGGAGAGTGTTATACATGGTATACTCCTCCGGATCACGCAATTAACGATCTAGAGAAACAGACACTAGGACAAGAATTACAATCAAAGCAAGGAAAACTATCTAACTATTATACAACAAGTTTTGGGTGGACGCCCGAAATTGTATTCTTATTTGTATATAAGCGAGTGAGCCGGGGGTTGGCGCACGAGAAAAGCGAATGCGCAGTGTGAGACGGTCTCAAATCTCCGTTTCGCGAATGCCAATACCCTTCTCATGATCAAAAAAATCAGGTCTATGAAAGCCAATCTTAATAACTATTCGAGGTCTAGGAGTAACATTCTTAGTAACTTTTACTTGTAACTCTCAAATTGAATAGAAAACATATATGTCAATAAAAGACTACCGCGAGGCCGGGCTCCTCTATTTAGGCGATCCGTGACGGTGTTTTTTCCAGGCCCTAAAAATGCGCGGAGCTTTCTACTTTGTTGACAACAAGAAAAGTATTTTAAAGTTTTCAAACTTTGCAGGAATCTGGTTGTTTGGGAGCCGAATTTTTAGTGGGAATATAAAGTTAAAGTCCTTTAACCTCCGAATGAGATAGGAAAATGCGGCATACGGACTTAAAGTGGGCTCTACTATAAATTGGTCATTATCTTTGCTGCTAGAATGGTCAAGTCAAGAATGGTAATCAGCCTGTGAATATGGCAATCAGAGTTCACTCAGTGTAGTGTGTGTTCGGGTAATTGGGCAAAGTGCTTGCGTGCCTGAAAGTGCCCAAGGAAATTTGAGTGTCAATCAACAGGCGCAGCCCCATGGCTTCGATGGTTCAATATCTGATTTTGAGTAGCCTTTGCGTTGCTCAACTCAACGTTAATTTGCAGATTTCGGATGACGGATAATTTCCATAGAGCACTTTTGCAGTCCACGGTGGAATTATCTTAAGCGAGACCTTAGCTTATCAAAAGGCCGCCACAGATTTTCTACCAAATTAAATATGTTTGGTCTCAGACACGACCCTGTTATTACCGCGGTAATGATCAGAATCCTCAAACTGATGATTTCACTGTGATGTTTACGGTTTTATTTACATAAATTAACAGTAGTACGAATGTGTGGCCCCTATTTTCTCCACTTACCATCGTACTCGTGCTATGTTTGATTGAAAACTTTAATAAACAATAGCTTAATGCTTTTATTTAACCAGAAAACAATGCAAAAAAATTATCCACTTTTTTTCTTACCATCATAAACTTCTGATCCTCGAATTGATGGTCGTTAGTGCGATGTAAAATATGCATTTTTATTTAAGTAACAGTAGTATAGTGCTTTGATTTAAATAGAATGCATATGCGTAGATTTGTCTCCGTATTTTTGTTGTTTTTGTTTTTGTGTTTGTTTTTGTTTTCGTTTTGTTTTTGTTTTGCTGTTACTTTGACAGGTACAATCACTAAGTAATTATTAAAAATTGATTTTTGGCACTGAGTAAGGCAACTGCGAGTCTTTACGAGTATCGTATTTTAAAGTTTCTATTTGCTTATCGAGCACTCGTATCTATTCGTATGTACAATCAATACACTGCGTAGATTTGCGTGTGGCGTCGGGTTAAATCGTTGGCAATCCAAAGGCTTCCATAAAAAAAAGTTACACCGCGATCGGAATCGGTCAAATGTCGAGTACACTGCACACTGCACAATATTCAGTGGAAAAAGAAAAAACCCGCAAACAAAATTCTACCTTTGCACAGCCACAGACGGTAATATTTCGACTGAAGTTGGATTTTCAGGTTGGACCCAAAAACCTTCGGGGGATGTACTACAGCGATGCTGATGCTGCCGCTGCTGCTGCCGTTGTCGTTGCTGCTGGTGCTGTTGGTGCTGCCGTTGCCGCCGTTGCCGTTCCCCACCTCCAACCCCATATACGTATATCTATATACCCGTGTATGTATGGACTTATTTACAAACACATAGGAAAAACGCCCAAAGCCTAAGCCCGTTCGCTGGCTTGATGAATCTGTGTCGTGGTATGGGTGGTGGTAGGTAGCTCTTCGAGCCATACACACAAGGCGCGTGGAGCAGGTTCTACGCTCTCGCGTCGCCAAAGAGAACCATCCATGCCACATGCCACGGATTGAGATGCTGAGAGCACCACGTTACAGAAGCAGAAGCACAAATAAAGAGCGCAAGAGAGCGAGCGAAACCTGTAAAGAGAGCATAGTTAGCCGTACTACCAATACCACTTGAGCGAGCCCGTGCCGTGTATCTGGTAGTGCATGTAGCATATAGTGAGCCGAGAGCAGCTACAGCCATTTATATTTCGGAAGCCCCGCCCCGTAAGCGGACTACTAGACAATGGGCCGAACCCAGAGGCTGCGACTGCAGCTTCTGCACACACAGATACACAGATACGGGCGGCGGCACACAGCTTCACGCAGATACAGATACGGACACATACATAGATACATACGTAGGTATCTACGAGAGTGTCTCTGTGTGTGTGTGTGTGTGTGGATGCATATAGGGGTTGGAAAATAATGCGGAAAGCTGGGGTTGGCAACGGCAACGGCAACGGCAACGAGCACTGTGTGCCCTTAGGGTTGTAACTTTTGCTACTGGGAAAAACCCAGGCATTGGGCATTGATGTTGCGCGCTCGGACGCTGAAATATTGCCAGTGGTACGTGCCCCATTGCCTTCGCTTCGGGTACTTTATACTCTCCAGCATTTTCCCTCTCTCCATGTACTAAGTACATATGTACATATTTACATATGAGAGTGTGAAGGCTTTAACATATAAGGCCATAAATACATACATATGTATGTACGTACGTACATACATATGTGCATACATATGTCAAAGATATGGTCTTGTGTATGTATGTACATATTTACACTAATAACATTTTCTTTTAATATGAACATTTTTGTAAAATATGCTCATATTATAAATTAGGTAGGTACAGTTGCTGACAACTAATTGAAATCAAAGGTGGTAGTAATAAACAGGAAAATGAAAACAATTCACAAAAATCATCTCAATATCCACAGATCGAAAGGTACTATGACAAAATCATATCATAAATGTTTTACAGAAACTGAACCTGGAAATTCCCAATTGTAAAGTAACCAAAGCACTCCGGAGTACTCTAACCACAAGCTCTTATCGTAGACAATATAATAAACTTACTCCGAATTTTTGATTCAGTTCAAATTTATTTTGTGTTCAATGAGGTGCTTTCGTTGATAAATATAAATCCTTTGATTTAAATGGATATGGAAAGGAAAATTCCGATTATTTTATGCACCTCCAAAATAACTAAGGATCTTTCTTCAGGGACGTACCACTTTAGCATGCTTGCTTGTTTCATTATACCCGATATTCCAAAACTGTTGGGGTATATTCGATTTATGGTGGGTAACACCCAGAAGGAAACGTTTCCGAACCCATAAAGCCTTCTAGGGTTACTCATTTCGCACTTAATACTTACTTTCACAACCGAAGCACACTCGATCGAGTTCACACGGACTGGATTCTGGCTTATCAGGGTTGATAATCAGTTAATCAGGCTAATCAGTTGATACCAAGATCAACTAGCACACTGCACACTTTGCGCTCGCAAGTATATATTCTCGATCAGCATCAATAGACGAGTCGATGTAGCCATGGCTGTCTCTCCGTCAGTCCGTCTTGCTTGACGCCTAGTTCTCAGAGACTATTAAAGCTAGAGCAACCAAACATCCTGTGATATCATACTGAATACAAAATTTTGCAACCGGCCCCACAAAGGGCTAAAATCTGCGAGACCCACAATTTAAAGATACAAAAGAACCGAAAACGCAGGACCATAGAGAACTATATCTACCAAAGTGCCGATTTTCGATCGGATCAGATCAGATCTACCCCGTCCACGCGCTTACTCCTTCTCTCTCTCTCTCTCTCTCTCTCACACACACACACTCTTCCCCGTGCAGTTTACGCCCTCTGGCGGAGGGAAACGAGACAACAACCATACTAACTGAGTATCGGGCATAAATGTAGAGCCGCGGTCCTTGCCACGCCTCACAAAGTTCCTTTTCCTTCTTTTTTTTTAATTTTCACAGCTTTTCCAAAAAAATGTAGTATTATAAATGATGTGATTGTCGAATTAATTCCATTTTTACTAAATCCCTATGCAAATTATTGAAGAGTTTTTGGCTTTGAAAGCAGAAGCTACATTGAAATAGATCTTGATCCTCACAAAAGTCTTTATTTTCACTTTGCACAATATTTTAACAATTAAGGACTTTATAAAGATTTCCAAAGTGTCATTCATTCGAAGGAAATATTTCCCAAATAAATGTATACTCTGACACACGGTCGTCTGAAAAATATGCTAGCATTAGAGACTTAAACGAGTGGGAATGTTGTAAGCTAGCTAGTCTCTCCATTATATATGTAGCTCTGCCTGAAAAAGTTATTTTATACTATGCCTTTTGCATTATTTCAAAATACTATGCTGTGCTTTCCCCCTTACAATCGTTTTGAAATCCAAAAATACAGATAAAATACAGACAAAAATACACGCATATGCAGAACGTTTTAGGTACATAAAGCTCTACAGCTGATGTGGCATTTATTGACATATTCATAGAATCCACGTATATGGCAAATAGGGTTTCGATTCAAATGACTACGCCACGAATTATTTAAAGGTAAATGCGCTCCGCATTTTTTCCTTTTGTTTTGAATAAACAGCCGGTGTTTTCCTAAATAAACTTTAATTAACTTCCTAACCAGCCAACAATCTGGAAACATATTCTCTATATATCAAATCCACCTTTTACATTGTGCCCAATGTATTACCAGAGAGCCATCTTTACCATCCAATATGTTCGTTAAGGCTACGACTTGAAGCCCAAAATAATCAGCCATTTTGAGCTCCTTTTTATCCAACTTATACTGAAAATTAAATGCAAGCTATGATTTATACAATTTGCACGGAATTAAACATGAGATACATAGATATGTGGTAGTCACAATACAAAAATAACTCTTACGGATTAGATTTTCGCTTAAAAAGAGTTCTGCTAGCTCTGCCATGTATCGGAGGTACTGTGGAACGGTCACTCAGGTCATTGAAAAGAGTGAAGACCTGGCTAAGAACTACGACTAAATCATTTCTAAATGGTAATCAAATATTCTGCATTGATAACACTTTAAGATTTTCTTCATATGATTATGCACACAGAGGAATCGTCGTATTCCACTACATTTCAATTGAAAATAGTGAGAGCTGCAATAAAAACATTTCGGAAAAACATTCAAGGATAGTGAGAGAGGTCTATACTTCTTTAGTATGGTTTTGTTATCAAAGGGGCATGTCAGCTGTAGAGCTGCAAACGATAATCAAGGGGGGGAACCTCATCCACTATTCAAAAGGTTATAAAGAGTACATTTCTCTGTTATCCTAATTGCACCATATCGACTTGGCGTTGCCCATAAGTTATAGAACTTTCATACAAAACAGTAGAAACCCGTTATATACCTTAAACGTGTGCTTTATAAACACATTAATGAAAAAATGCTAAAATATCCCTGTTATTATCCTTACACAATGTAATGAAAAGGTGAGAAGTTTCGTAGAATTTTTGAATAATATTTATAAATAGAGATAGAAATGCTTTATTTCCAAACAGAGGAAATAGTGGACATTCGATGGGATTGAAAAAAATTCTTTGTCCTTTTTATAGTACATCTAATCTCGATACAATGGTGTCCTGTAGTCTCAGTTATAGTCTCAGAGATAGTTACTAATTTCTATTCCAGCATGCTGACATTATTGTCCTCCGTTGACACAATTAGTCCCTAGACTTAGCGCGAAAAGGATTATTCAGAAGAGCGAATTGAATCAGTTATCTTTGTTAAGCTAAGACGTTTAAGGGTTGTCTGCTGAAATTGAATTGCGACAGTAGCTTTTAAATAATTGAAACGGATTAAACGAACTCATCCGTTAGCTACAATTAGTTGCTATGAAAGGTGGACATATTTATGTCAAAAATATAACTGTGTTTCCGCCGGCATTACAATTTTCTTTGGCTGAATTTAGTGAAATTGCAACAAATACAACAACAACAATACAAATAAAAGTATGAAAGACAGATCGTGCAGTCATGTACGAGTACATATGTATGTATGTATTCATTTACTCGTATTAGGTACTGGCTTACCTTACCGAAAAACCACACGAAGTTAAGAGCTGTAAATCTTGCGAAATGGAAGCTGTGCGATCAGGTGTACGAGAGTACCAGTGTGTATTATACAACT